TGCTAACTTTCGTATCATTGTTGCAAATATTTTTTCTTTTATTTTCTTTTTTTTTTTTTTTTTCAGACAGAGTCTCACTATGTTGCTCTTGGTAGAGTGCAACCACACTCTACCTTGGCAGGGCATCACAACTCACAGCAACCTCAAACTCTATAGCAGGAATTCTCAAACTACGGCCCACGGGCCACATGCAGCCCACTGAAGACATTTATCTGGCCCACTGGGTGTTTTTGCTGCCGCTGCCTGTCCTGCTTAGCAGCCAACTGGCCCCCTGTTTAAAAAGTTTGAGGACTTCTGCTCTAGGGCTTAAGTGATTCTCCTGCCTCAGCCTCCCAAGTAGCTGGTACTACAGGTACCCACCACAACGCCTGGCTATTTTTTTGTTGTCATTGTTATTTGGCAGGCCTGGGCTGGGTTCGAACTTGCCAGCCCAGGTGTATGTGGCTGGTGCCCTAGCCACTGAGCTACAGGCACTGAGCCTTTTTTTCTTTTTCATTATGAGTTTTTCTGATGTATAGAAATTTATAGGTTCCTTGAATTCAAATTTGCTGTGCATGTCCTTCCATAGCAGACAGCCTTCTCAAATTTTCAATAGAGAGGGGTCTAAACCCACAGGCAGGGACCCGTAGCGCATCACCTGCCTCTGTAGACAAATTTCATGGGCTCTACGGCCAGTGCAGTGGCCACGACGTCATCTGCGTTATGTCTGCGAACTCCAACAACCATCAGCCCATCCAGCTTTCCCACGACGAAGACCAGATTATCCTGAGGGCAAGGGTGGTGGTCAGTGCTCAGCCCACAAGGACAGGTGCTGGCATTGTGGTCAGGCCCCACTGCAAGGAGCTGACAGCACAGGAATGTTGAGTACCATGCAGACAGAGCCCAGCAAGGGCCACATGCCCAATAAAAATTACACCTAACGGGGGGCTGCGGAGGGGCAGCCAGGGAGGTTGTCACTGCAAGAGAGGCTCAGAGTGGCACCTCAAGCCATGACTGAAGTTTGAAAAGGACTGAGAACTCCTAGGCCAAAAGACATGTCAGGGCTGTGGAGGGCTGCAACACCCTGGCAGGCTCTGTTCTGGGCACTGCTGGACACTGATGTCAGTAGCCTCCCCCCACCCCCAGGAGTTGTGACAACCAAAAATATCTCCAGAAGCTGACATATGTCCCCTGGGGAGGCAGGAGGTAAGATTTCTCAGCTGGGAACCACTAGGACCAAGATGTCACAAACAGAAGTATAGCAGAACCTCTATAGCTGACCACCTCCCCACACTGACCACCTCCTCAAGTTGACCTAATTTTCACAGTACAGACATGTACCCCATGTCTGTGCTAGCACAGGAGGTTTAGCTCTTATGGTGACCACCTCAGTATGCTGCCCGGTTTGTTACAGTCCCTTGGGTAGTCAGTCATCTTACAGAGGTCCTTTAGACATCCAAATGGTAAAGAATCATATAATAAATCCCCAAGTATCTGACAGCCCATATAAAGAACAAAACATTATCATCTACCCCCAGGACATTGCTTAGGACCTATGTGAGTTGTGGCTGGTCCACAGATGTGGACAGCCCTGCATACAGGTGAGGTGATGGGCAAGGAGATCAGCATGATTGGCTGAGGCCACATGAGGTCAGGGACATCCCAGCTGTCCTCTCATGCAATGAAGCATCCCTTGTTCACTCCCTCCACCCTCACTTGCCAGCCCTGGTGAGAGAGGATGTACTCACAGGCCCAATGAAGCCCAGCAGCCCCGTCCTGGTGAAAGGCCTGTCAGAGACGGGCACTCCTCCTGCAGTGACCGGGACAGTCTGCAGAGCGGGGGGCACCATCAGGCTGTGGAAGTCAACCCATGTTTCCAGAGAGGGGAGGAAGCCACCCCAGGCCCAGAGGCTCTAAGCTCACACGGCCCAGGCCAGCTTCTTGGATAGCTGCTCCATGAGCTCCAAGGCAAGATATAAGCATTCTTATCTCTGTGTTCCCTGTGTCTGATCTCGCCAGCCTTACCCTGAACTGACTGTGCCCCAACAATGCAAACACAGAAGAGGCTGCTTTCCCTGGGGCCACCTTGAGTGTCCTCCTGTTGGCCAGACGCAGCAGGTGACACCCACATGCCCTTCTCCTGCTTAGGACTGCAGGAAGTAGCCTGGCTCATAACGTTCGGCCCACCAGCCCCGCCCGCCTTCTGGTGGCTATGTTGCTACAGCCCCTGAAGGCCTGTGTGAAAGACCCTGTTCCCAAGGACTCAGCTCCCCTCACAGCATCCTGCACACTTGGGCCCAGTCAATGCTCGGGGGACTTAATTTAACCCAGGAGTAAGAAAAAGTACAAACCTCAAATACGTTCTTTGTGATTCCAAGCAGTCCATAGTACGCTGTGCCAGTAGTACTGGAATTGACACATATTTCTCCAACTTCATCAGTTTTACAAAGATAAGGGGTACCTTCCACCTTCACAACACATACATTAGCTGAAAAGAGGGAAAACCCTCAAAATCATAAAGAATACACTTAAGTGACTCTCAAAGATCAACTTGCTGCTGTCTTTGCAGTTATGGGAATAGGACATTATCTGTGGTATGTACAGGATGTTCTCATAGTAAGTTTTATAACAATGGATAATACACATGCTACCTAGTCATAAGTCTTTATCTTTTATATATATTAATATTTTTATAATCAATGTGAAGTGATTAAAACAACAACTTCCATGTAATAAACCCAGGTGACAAAATACTCCATCTCAGAGATGCAATCTGTGGCATCACCCTCTCAAATTCACGTGGGTGTAGGTGCAGTCTGACCTGGCACCTGGGGTCACCAACTCCCTGGGCTTCCCCTCCTATGGGGACCTTGCCTGTCTAGTTCCTGGCCCTAGGGGACTAGAGGCATGGAGGAGCCTCAAAAACAGCTTTGCACAAAAGCACAAAACACACATTTGAATGTGCCACGGTCACGCCATGAAACTTGGGTACTCAGTGACTAATTACCCATAGGTCAGCTAGGAACTGTCTTGCTATGCTGCCTCTTGAGTTTTTACTAATACATATCATCCCAAAGACAGCAAGCAAGAAAAAAGTGGAGAATAATCACTTATTTGTTTTGTTCACACAAATCAGAAGAAAGACACTGCAGGGGAATACTTGGGCACTTGCTGGCAGGGAGGACGCTGCTTATCTGTGTCTCACATTTAGGCAGCATTTGTTGTCTCAAGGATGCTCACAGGCAAGCAGTGATGGATTACAAACCACCAAAAATCTACTTGATGTTGTGGTGAACACCAATACCATGTGGCCCATGCAAGGGAGGTTGTACAACTATTAAAGATAAGATGCCACCAGGAATCACTGTGTTGGTCAGCCCGCCAACTAGGAGCACAGACGAGGGTTTTGGAGGATAAGAGAGGCCACCCTGGGGAGCACTACATGCAACTAGGGGGTCATTGCACACACACACACTAGGGGGAGCCTGCATGCATGTCCTGTCCTGTCCTAATCTTTGTTTTACCAATAAAAGAAAATGGTACAACTGTGAATGTTCCTAGAAATTTTCACCAATGTTTATTAGGGTTTCCTGTACTTTCTTTATAATAAAAATAAGTAATCCCATTCATCACTATTTGTGAAAATGTCTAACCCATAGGTTCAAGCATTCTCAAACACTGATGAGTCCATCTCTGGGTAGAAGTATAGAAAGAAATGATATAATTGATATTATTAATAATAAAAAGTAGATCTAGAAATAAAAGTTTAAAACTTCCAGTCTTGTTCAAAGAGACCAAAACTTCTGTGCACACACAGGAGTCAGGCATCACTTGGCCTCAAGCTCCAGATTAGGGGTTGGCCAGACTGCCCACTTGAGGGAGACAGAGCTGCAGACATGAGAGCTATGTGGTACCAGCAACCTGTGACACACCCCTGCCAGCACTGGGAACATATACTAGACAGAAATGGGACCTGCCTTCAGAAGTCACTAGGAAGGAACAAAACTGTTCTGTGGGGAGGAGAGAAAGCCAGACCAGCTGTGACAAGGGGTAGCCTCAGACTGCATGAGAGTGCCTTACCATGTTGTTACCAAGCCCTCCTTTCCTCATGAGACTTTGTGCCTGCATGGAGAGTGCTCCGTCACCCCCTCTTCACTGCACTGCCACGGGACCAGCAAGGGATGCCCCCAGAGAAACCTGTTGTGACATTCAGGCCAAAGGAGCCAACTTTTGTAGGAGGGATTACAAGGGCCTTTCTGAAACTCGGAGGAATTGCCAGGAAGCTTCCGCATCAGACCCCTATCACAACATATACTTGCTACAACTTACTTAGATAACCTAATTGTCAAGTTATTTATCATCTTCCTCATCAATGCCTACTTTGTGGGGTTGCAGTGAGGCTCACACATGTCGAAGCATGAAGACTGTGCAGTGAGCTATTATCACATGTGCCCCAATGCCAGAGAAACCCCAGTCAGGTTCACAGCCATGAACCTTACATTTTAACTCATCCTTAAATTTAATACAAAGAGAAGACTGAAAAAAAATTTTACAAATTAAAACCCCAATTCACATTGAAAAAGGTTTTTGAGAAAGCTTTTACTCCTGTGCTTGCTTCTAAAGCACTACCATGAAGCTGGAGCAGTTATAACCTGCTTGGTTATGCTGCCAGGTCAAAGGACATGCATGCTGGTTCAGTCCCTCACCTCCAGGCATCACTTGACCGACGTCCTGAACAGTGAGGACTGACAACTTCTCCTCGGTATCAACTCTGATCACACCGTAGCTTAGACCATTCATTGACAGGACAGCTTTCCTTGGAGGGGGTCCTCCCAGATCAGGTGGCCTAGAAAACAAAACTAACACAAAGTTAGCAGAGGAGGAATATGATTCCAGGACAGAGGGGACCAAAGTGCTGCTCCATGTGACAGTCTAAGGAAACTGCATGTTCTGAAGATGCTGACACAATGTATCTAAACCAGGGGTCCTCAAACAGGGGGCCAGCTCACTGTCCCTCAGACCACTGGAGGGCCGGACTGCGGGCCCCAGGACCAGTCGGCTGCTAAGCAGGACAGGCAGCAGCGACAGAAAAACCTGGCAGGCCAGATAAATGTCCTAGGTGGGCTGCATGTGGCCCATGGGCTGTAGTTTGAGAACACCTGGTCTAAACCATGGACCCTTGGCAATGTGACCCTGACACTCTTCTCATCAGGAGGCAGCCTGTGACTATGGAGTAAGTGATACTATGAGAATTCCAAGGCAAGTCATGAGAGGTGACTCAGCTTCTACTTAGCTGTCTCGTGACACTCATCTACAGCCCTGGGCAGCCAGTAAGCAGAATGACTACTGGGGACACCACACTGCAAGGAAGTTTGGACAAGGCTGCTCTGAGGGACTGGGAGCAGCCCTGAGATTGTATAGCCCCTCACCGGCCTAGTTCAGACACCACCTCACACAAACCAGAACCTTCCCCAACTCCCAGCCTATAACACTTGAGAAACAATATAATGAGGCTGCTGTTTTAAGCCACTGAGTGTGGGAGAGATTTGTTATGCAGCAAAAGTAACTGAACACTGAGCAACAAAGGTTAGCACTCTCTCTAGCAAGAGAGCTAGTGTCCAAGGCCAGGCACAGGGGCTCATGCCTGTAATCTCAGCACTTTTAGAAGTCCCAGGCTCCCAGGAAGACTGTTTGAGGCTAGGAGTTTGAAACTGTTTGAGGCTAGGAGTTGAGTTCCTGGGCAACAGGAAAAAATTATACTATCAATCAAAACAAATTATCATAGAAGAAAGGAATGAAGAATAATTTATAGTTTTGAGGGACACTATTTTTATGCTAAGTCATTAAAAATTTAGAGTTACTTAACACCTGCATATATGTAAATATAGCAGAACTTCCATAGCTGACCACCTGCCTATATTGACTACCTCCTTGTCATAGACTAGACACACACTACATGTGTATATTGACCACCTCTGTATGTTGACCAGTTTGTTATAGTCCTTGAGTGGCCAACTTATGAAGGTGCTACTGTGTATTCTATTTATGAACTAATGAATACGGTGTAAGATTACAACTGAGATTATAATGGTCAAGTTGAGGGTAGGAAATGAGCACAGAAGCTGCCCTCTACTATAAGCACACTGACTCCACCCCCTGGATGGTGCTGGGGCAGGCACAGTGAACTGAGGGCCCCAGGCCCAGCCGTGGCCTGAGGTGCAAAAGCAATACAGGGAAGGCCACAAGTCTAGTGCCCACATACGATGACAGCTCAGGGCAGTTTGGTGGCCTCTCAACACCACCCTTCAGGCTGAACTATGTGATACAGGAAAACATAGCCATAAGAGCAGCAGGGGCCTTCTCAGGGGTGGGGGCTAGGCACAGGCCAGGTGCTTCTTTGGGCAAGTCAACAGTTCACCATGGGCAGATTCATGGCTGACAGGGAACTGCTTGGAATGAGGACCAGTCCTTGGGTCATGACTTGACTACAGCTAAGGATGAGATGACCAGGCCTTGATGATTAGGGAAGACACTCTTAGGAAAATAACAGTCAGACGTAATAGCAAGAATCCAGAACCACCCAACTCCCAGCATGAATCCAGGCTTGTAAGGAGCATGGGGGCAGGGAAGCAGCACAGAAATGGTGGAGGTGAAGGGAGTGGCACCCACAACTGCAGTGCCGCACAGACACTGGGGGCCCAGCACCCACACAACAGTGCCACACAGACACTGGGGGCCCAGCACCCACAACTGCAGTGCCGCAGACACTGGGGGCCCAGCACCCACACAGCAGTGCGGCACAGATACAGGGGGCCTAGCACACACACATAGCAGTGCTGCACGAACACTGGAGGCCCCAGCACCCACACAGCAGTGCCGCACAGACTCGGAGTCCCCTGGCACCCACCCAGTGCCATAAAGACACAGGGGCTCCTGACACCCACAAAACACTGCTACAGGGCTCCTGCTGTGCAGAAACAGTAATAAGCTCAGGGCCATGGGCAACTCAGCTGTACATGGAAGTTATGGGCTCACAGGACAGAGCAAGGAATGAGGTTACCTGCGGATGGCAACTGTCAGTGCCTCAGGAGAGCTGGCACAAGGACAGATGACCTCTGGCCTCAGACCTCTGGACTGGAAGACGTTGAGGAAAGCATCACAGGAAGATATCGACCCTGCTTGAAGCAACCAGAATGAAGCCAGAGGTGACTGGAGGGCAGTGGGACATGGGGCACAGGGGATGTTAACTAATGCCCAGGAGCAGAGGCTGCACATGCTGACCCACTAGTCCATTCTGTGCATCAGCCCCAACCTAACAGGAGATCACTGCTACATCACAGAGAGGCTGGGGCTGTTTCCACAAAACACACATGACACATTTTCAAGTTGCCTGCAAGTCAGAGGCTGGAAATCTAACCTTGTGTTTGTCACTGAGTCCAACTCACTGCCAGCCCTACCCTTCCCTGCCTCCTCCTGGACTAGGCTGGAAGAAAGAGCTTCCTTGTGTTTCACATCTTGGGGACAGCAGAATCTGCCAAGTTGCTGAGAAGCATCCCATCATGCCCAGGTCAGGGCACTGCATGTCCCGTAGTGCAGTGAATTTGGCTCCAAGGAGCTCAGTGCTGTACCATCTGCATAATCGGCTGCAAGTGCAGCCTCTGTGCTCTGGCCTCAGGCCGCCCCCCTTCTCCCAGACGTTCCCTTCCCTGGGGAGCCACCTGTCACAGTCAGGTGTGTCAGGCCTCAGCAGCCAGCCCTGAAGACATGAAGACTCAGCTCCAAGGAGCTCTGTATGGTTGGAATTCAAGCCTCTACAGCCCTGTGCCCATGGGGACCCAGCTTTCTCCAGCAATTTCCTGTCTTCCCACAAGAGGAAGGGCCTTAGACTCTGTGTTCTTTGGGGAAGAGGGAGCAACAAAACAGCTACAGACTGCCTATGCTAAGGGGCACACAGAGGCCCAATGGCCAGCCCCATGGTGGGGTGCAGTCACTGGTGAGTGTTGTTGGAGGAGGCACACACTGTGACCCCACTGCAGGGACCAGCCAGATGGCCAGGGCCAGGCAAAGTGCCGAGGGCCAGGTGAGCATGATGCGGCACAGATGTGAGCAGTATGTAGGGCTCAGGGACAGGCCCTGTTTGGCCAGTGTAGACAAAGGGAATGGGGAGCTCTGGAAGTGCTGGAAAGTGGGGTGCCCGTGTGAAACAGAATACACAGGGAAACATGGGGACATGGGCACTGGCCTGGCTGAGGAGAAGATAAGATGAAGGCCAGGTCCAGGGTGGTTTCCAGCACAAACTGCAACCTAGGCTTGGCAAACACCATTGAGGCCCTAAGGGTGGGTCAGCCCTGGACAGTCCTGGCACCCAGGAGGCTCACAGCCTCCAAACAAGCAGTTACATCCAGATAACTCTGGGTACCTAGGACATCCCTGGGAACCCGTGTAGAGGACATGGGAGAAACGGCTGGGGCCAGAAGCAAGACAGGTAGAGTCAAGAACACACAGGCAGGAAGCTTAGGATAAGGCCCAAAGAGAAGCAGGGATCCTGATTTCTCTTTTTTTTTTTTTTTTTTGAGACAGAGCCTCAAGCTGTCCCTCTGGGTAGAGTGCCATGGCTTCACAGCTCACAGCAACCTCCAACTCCTGGGCTCAAGCAAGTCTCCTGCCTCAGCCTCCCAAGTAGCTGGGACCACAGGCACCTGCCACAACACCGGGCTATTTTTTGGTTGCAGCCGTCATTGTTGTTTGGCGGGTCCGGGCTAGATTTGAACCCGACACCTTAGGTGTATGTGACTGGCACCTTAGCCACTTGACCCACAGGGCCGAGCCAGGATCCTGATTTCTTAGGGAAGGTGACTCTCATTAAGGGATTGACTTCTGTCAACTATGATAAAATTGCTCTTACAGTTAGCGCCCTCCTAAGCATGCACGAGACACGTCAGCAAGTCATCCACAAGATGTTCTATGTCATAGAACATTATAAGTTATTTGTGAACTCATACAACAGTGGGGGTGGAAACACTTCCATTTTGCTTCTCGACATGTTCTATTTCAGCAGGTTGCCTCAGCCACCTGGCAAGTCCCAGTTTGCAGGAGGAGGGGATACCATGTGGGTTGTGCCTTGGTCATGTAGGCTTACTCACAGGGGTTAGCGCCATCGGCCACAATTAGCATTCGCAGTGAGCTGAGGCTGACATCCCTCTGACCCCTCTGCGCCAGGAGAGACCAGTGCATGTCTCGGGACTTCACCAGCGCAGCCCGGGCTGCAGAGACAGGAGTAGAGATACTGCAGTGTCACGGTAGTAGTGACCCTTGTGCAGACCGAGACACATACCCTGCTCCCATGTGGCAGTGCACAGGCACGGGGTACATAGACTCACATCCCAGGCCACAGGCTCTCTCTTGCCCCCAAACATTTTTCCTTAAAAGTCAACTTTGAGGTATAACTTAGAAGAAACTCAGCTCCATTTCAACATTAATTTTTTTCCCCAGAAGCTCTATATTGCTCTTTTCCTATGTGCCCATTTCATCTAATATTGTCCCTCCCTGAGTTGTTGACACTAAGTTGACAAGCCGTTATCACAGCCTGCTGTGTGCTGAGGCCTCCAGGCTGCAAGATGGGAGGACTCCCGGATCCCAATAGGTAGATGCAGCCTGGCCTGTGGTGCCAGGTGAAATCTCCCTAGACTTCAGTTTTCCTCCATAAAAAAAAGAAACAGCTGCCACACCAAGCGGGTCTGAAGCAGAGCACAGGATCGGCCACAGGCAGAACCAGTCAACAGTGCAGCCAGGGCCTCAGGGGCTGCTGAAGAAGCTCTTGAGCTTCACAGGGTATGGCAGGGCCCTGGACCACCAGGTGGCCACATCTCACCTCATCTGTCCTGGACTGTAGCAATCCCCTGACAACCTGCAGGGCTGTGCCCCCAGGAAGAGGCAGGGCCTCAATTACCCCCCCCCCCCCCTAGTGCCTCAAACACACACAGGCAGGAGGAAGGTAAGTGTCCTGGAGCTCCTTAGCCCACACCTATAGCTCCAAAAGTCAGCTTCATTTTTTCCCTAATCGCCCAAGATCAGTTCTTCTCTGAAGAATTATGAGCCCAGTTGGAGTGGCATTTCCGTTACCTTTATAGGAACACACTTTCTGAATCCAGGAGAGTGGGTTGACCTTCATCAGTGCATAGGGGATGCTGACCACATGCATCCTGTTCAGGACACTCTGCCAGAGAGAGAGACCCACTCAGAGACAAGCAGGACTGAGCCACACAAGAAAAAGCAAAAAAGCCCAGGTACTCTCACAACAATACTCAGGCACAGGCTTGGGCCCAGCTCTTGCACGAAACACTAGCAATCCCTTGTTCCAACAATTAGTCATTAGCAAACAACACTCACTGTTAACACTCCATGCCAGAGACCAGCATCTCTTTTGAAATCCAGCACATTTGTTAATGTTTCAGCTGAAAGTGGACAAAGAAGGTTAAACTACTGAACAACCACGTGCCTTTCTAGAGAAATTCTGAGTACATCACTGACATGTACGAGTTTTAGGGAACAGAAGCATTTCTAAATACCAGGCACCAATTAATCAATAATTAATTGGTTATTCAAATTACTGGAAACATGTAAAAGTAGAAAGCCATACAACTATGGACTGAAATAGAGAATCACCGTGATCACTAATCTGATCACACACTTGGGAAGCTGTACACATGTCACTATTGTTCCAATCTCTTCAAGTGAAGAGGTGGATAAGGAGCTGCCCCAGATATCCTCACTCCTTAGCCTCAAAGACAGACACCCCCATCCCCAGAGGCCAGGACCTGGCATCCTGGGGCTGGGGGTTTGTGCAGAGGTGTGTTGTACTCCCAAAGGCTCCTGGCCTAGCCTAGGCTGTGGCAGACCTGCCTTCCCACTGTGAGCACTGCAGCTCCCAGCTGCACCCATTGACAGAGACCCTAGGGAACAGGAGGTTTGGCTGCTGTGCCAGCAAATGCTGCTGCATCACCTGGGCAAGGTCACTCTAAATATCTTTGGTAGCTGAAGAACCCAGTTCATAAGAGACTATGTGAGATCAGCACTGGAGTGAAGAAAACCATGGGACATGATTTGATAGATCTAACTTTTAAAAAAATATTAGAAGTCCTTAAAACTATAATCGTTTTCCAGTCTTCACTAAAATCTTTAGCTGTACCTTCATGTTACCCTTTGCTTTTAATTGTATTTTAAATATTTAAACATAACCATTCAATTTCACTTCCAAGTTTTATTCAGTTCAGTATTGCACCATAAGAAAACTATCTTAGTAGTCCTCAACTATTATTGTGTTTGGGTCTATCACTCCGATTAGCTTTAATATTTGCTTTATATACCTTGTTGTTCCCATGTTGAGGACATATATATATTCACAATTGCTATATCCTCCTGCTAAATTGACCCTTTTGCCATTATATAATGATGTAATTAAAAAAAAAACCCTTAGGTCCATTTTAACAGTTTTAAAAATAATATTTCTCACATTGTACCCCATAAATATATATAATTTTTTTTTTTTTTTTTTTTTTTGAGACAGAGCCTCAAGCTGTCCCCCTGGGTAGAGTGCCGTGGCATTACAGCTCACAGCAACCTCC